TTCAATTATACTATTAAATCTCTTCATTCCTTTTGTTATTCTACCTCCTGAAGACCTGTCTGATACCCACCTTGTGATGTTAAAATCTCCCCCCAATGATACCCACCTTTTATTAACTGAAGAATACTCCTATATATAGGGACTATAACTAACAAAACTTAACAAACACTAGTAACCTATAGTTACCACACGGTAAAAGGATTTAAAACCTACAACTAAGCTTATATCATTAAAGCTTTGTTTTTTAACTACCCAAAGCCATAAACGGCTACATCACTTTCTCTCATGCGGTTGGTTCTGGAATTAGTTTGACTTTCAAGCTCTGTCGCTAGCAGTTTTTCGGAGTTCTAGTCCAGGATGTTTTTTTATCTTTTTCAAGCTTGTATTGCTCTTGTTGCACTAATTCTTCGTTATTTTTCTCTTCTTCTCTCTCTCCTTTTTCGCCCCTTTGGGGTTTGTATCTTGAACATTTTTCTTTTTCATATATCAATGAAAAGTTGTTTCTTGTTCAAAAAAAATTGGTAAGATGAGAATTGGTTTCAAATTTCAAGTAGAATGTGTTGTGTGGCCACTTCTGGAGGAAGGAAAAGTATCGTGATTGCAGCCAGATTCAATAAGTTTGTGATTTACCAAGAATTGGGAGCAATAATGAAGGAAGCCCTCATGAAGATTAAGTAAACCAAATACTCTTCATCCAAGAAGTTTTGAAGCACTCATTCATGCCGAAAATTTGTGGCATAGACTATTTTGGTGTACTTAATCTTCATTTTTTTTCTGTCTAACTTGATCAAGAAAGTCCTCACACTTCGCTTGGGTATCCGCAGTTTAAGAAACATGCTTAGCTGAGTTTGCAAGATGTCATTTGCACGTAGCTATGAAACACAAGATCACTTGTTTGTTTCTTGCAACTTTGCTCGTAAATTCTGGGACTTTATGATCGAGAATTTTGGATGGTGGACTCGTATTCAATTGAACATTACTTTCCATCTCCAAGCATCTTAGGGGGACATCCATTCACAAAAGAAAAGGCGATTTTATGGTCTCTGATTACTAGAGCTTTCATCTGGTACTTATGAAAGGAAAGGAACAATAGAACTTTTAAAGACAGATACCAATCCTACTTCAATTTCTTTACTAATGTACTGGTCACGGCCCTCAGCAGGTGTAAATGTCATTTTGCTTAATTTTCTAGTTACACCTTAAATGATCACTTGATGAATTGTAGGGCTTTTTTGTAACCCATCATCATCGGGTCCTTTTCCCCTTTTGTATATTTCATATTATCAACGAAATATGTGTTTCTCACCCCAACAAAAAAAAAGAAATTTTTTTTTTTGCGTGTAGCTATGGAAGTGTGGCTTGAAAGAAAGTAGAGAACCTTTCTACATGATGAAAATTGTTCCAAGGAGATTTGGGATTACATTCCTTTTTTGCCTCTTCATGGTGCTCTTTAGTCTTTTTTTGTGATTACAATATTTCTTCTATCATGACCAATGGGAGGGTTTTTCTTTTCCTTTTTTTTGGTAATTCTCGTTTCTATTATTATTATTTTTTTCTCATTTGAAATTGGTTTGTGCTCAATAATCTTAGATTGGTATGGCTATCTACTTGTTCTATAACAGGGATGGTTCTCTTAGAGATTTGAGAGCTAGTTCAGGAGAACTTACAAGAATTGGGAGCAATAATGAAGTGCCAAGTACTGTTGTTAATCGAGAGAGAGAGGCTGCATCCAATCAGTATGAGAAAACAAACAATCATAGTAGTGAAGCACCTCGCTTACAGAGTGGAGTTCTGCGTACAAACTGCATTGATTGTTTGGATCGAACAAATGTTGCACAATATGCCTATGGTCTTGCAGCTTTAGGCCGCCAACTCCATGCAATGGGTTTGACAAAGATGGCTAAAGTGGATCCTGATAGTAGCATTGCTGCGGCTCTTATGGATATGTATCAGAGCATGGGGGATGCGCTTGCTCAACAATATGGTGGCTCTGCTGCTCACAACACTGTACTTATACGTGCATGGATCTAAGTTCATATATATTTATCTAAATTTATTTATATTTTGACACAACTTTTGTTTCTCACTAACAAAAGCTTGATCACAAATTTAGGTGTTTCCTGAAAGGCAGGGCAAATGGAAAGCTACCACCCAATCTAGAGAGTTTATCAAATCTATCAAACGCTATTATAGCAATACTTGCACTGATGGTGAAAAACAAGATGCAATAAATTTGTACGTTCATTGGATCTTATCTATGCATAATTGCATATACCTCACTTTCAGACACAACATATTGAGTTTTACATTCTCTTTTCTCAAGTTTATCCTTTCACTATTCAGAGAATTTACACTTCTGGATGCTTTCATGTTTTGATTTTTTCACTTATTGTTTTTAAATTTTCTTCTTACATATGTCTTACCAGATTTTTAGGTTATTTTCAACCTCAAGAAGGCAAACCTGCTCTGTGGGAACTGGATTCTGATTACTACCTTCATGTATCAGGGCTTGGAGATGATCTTTTTCCAGATAAGTGGTATAATTTTAGCAGTCTTGACTGTGTATCCTAGTCACAATATTTCTTCACTCCCTTTGGAGTTTGTATCCTTTCAACATTGTATTCCTTTCCATTAAATCAACTAGAAGTTCGTATCTAGTTTAAAAAAAATTACGATTAATTAATTTCATATTTTGACGTAGTATTTTTTATTAAAATTTAATACATTTTAGAAGAGCGACTATAGAAACATGCATGATAGCAATTATAGAGAGTAAGGATAAAGTACTGTAGCGAACTAGGAGAGTAAGGATAAAGTACTTTAGCAACCTGGGGTAAAAGAGTATGTACCTTAGCAAGTTGGGGTTTATCAAACTGCCAAATAAAAATGGATTTGACTTAGCTGCATTCACTTGTATTGTAGGGGTAGTTACTATTTTTGCCTTATACAAATATTATTCTGTTTCTTAGTTTTAACTTTTGTAATAATATATTCAGATTTCTTGACAGATTGCCAACAGCAGTAGTAACTCGGGTGAAATAACCTGGTTTTTATACTTTACTACCAACTAAAAAAGGAATTCACTCTCTCTCTAAAAAAAAAAAAGAAAAAGTTCACGGTTGTTTGTAACAGTTAGCAAATTATTGAATAATTGCAAGGATTTCAGTCTATAGAATTTATCATTCACCAAGGCCTGTAAAACTTAACAACTTATAATTGTTGCCAGTCTTGTGTAGTTTCTTCCTGATTCTTATTTTGCAGTTCAGAAGCTGTCTCAAATTCTATTGGAGGAGCAGCAATATCGCTTGAACCTATTCCAGCATGCAGAGAAGACTTTGCTAGGATGAAGTTAACATCATTTGATAAATTGATTGAACGAACTTGTGGTTCAATAAAGAATGTAAGGCTTTGGTGTGAACCTGATCAGAAACCTGGAGGTAGTACAGGAAATTCCAGCATGGCACCTGATGCAGCGTAATTTTCTCATTGATCTTGAATGGTCTCTTTAATCTCTCTTTCTTTGAGGTGGTAGATTCGGAAAGGAGGCAGATTTATTGAACTTCCAAATATTGTACCTTTTAGTTGGTTTCATTTCTCAATTCAGATCTCGTGTTTAGTGAATTATGTGACAGCATTGCATAGGGACTAGATGAATTTGTTAAATGCTTGGAGCAGTTATTGAACCTACAGTAAATTAAAATGCGACTTTTATGCAGTGAAATTCAACTTAAAAGCCCAAATTGGCTGTTTGGTCAGAGGAAGTATGAAGAAAGTAGCCCTGGTTCCAAAGATGCTTCACATGAAGCTGCAATCTGTACAACTGAGGATAACAAAAAATTTGACGGTTTCTGTGATCTAAACAGGCTTTCTTCTAGTGACAATTTCAATGATGAGGAAATCTTCCAAAGGTAAATCTTCTAAGAAGTAAGAATACAAATATTTTACTCTAGATTCTTCTTCCCGTTCCCATCAAACATATCATTGTTAATTTGTTTGCCTCAATGCCAAAAAAATATACTACTCTCTCCTTATATATTTAATTATCTGTGATATCTTGAGATTGAATGGAAAATCTAGTTTGGGTTAACCACAAAATTAGCTAATGATACAGGAACCAATCTTTGAGTCCGAAGGTAGATCTTTATTATTTTCTTGAAGACAAGAAATCATGTGTTACAGGAAGCTAACAATTTTGGGATAAGATAAATTACTCGTCTATCAAGTGAAAGAAGTATACAAAGAACTAAAGTGGCATTCTTTTGGAAGGAAATCTTTTCATTAAGATATGAAAGAAAAATAAAGAAA